TCCAAAAAGTGGATGACTTGATGATATGATCATGTGTACTGAGAGTGTAGGCACTAAACCAAGAGCTACTCATCAAGAATTTTGGGTGTTTTTTTTTTAAAGGACTATTAGTCAAAGCTAAACCATTTTAATAATTTTGTCTTAAGGCCAATTCACGTTTAAAAGTTGATTGGAAATTTCAGAAAACTCCCTTTGTTTTATCCAGTTGTTTCCTTAGCAAGGCACAAGTTTATTTGTTCCCACACTAAATCCCTTATTTATGACCCATCATAGCACCCTTCTTGTTGCTGGCTCCTAATTTCTCCCCATTTCTCTGAATTTCTCCCCATTTTTCTGAATATCACTAATATTGTCCTACATTTACTACAACTTTATCACTGCTATACACTGTCTTCTGATGATCTCCTGAGGCTCTTTAACACCATCGGGTTCAGTGCTTCCTAGTCTGTAAGTGGCTGCAATCACAACCACAAGGGGAGATCTTGAGTTTGTTTATTTCATTATAGATTCAAAGGGGGGGAAAGTCCAGCTGAGGAAATGAGTAAAAACCAAACAAGCTCCCCAGCTATTTCTGTTTCAGAATGCCGAGGTATTTTCAGCCTGGCTTTTTGTCACGCTTCCTACCTAAATAGTCCCCATATGCTCTTTAAGCCCATGACCATTCCATGTACGATGCAGCAGCACCTTGACTTTGCCCCTTTCAACTCCTGTACTGAAGTTATCTTACATCTACAATCTTGCCTTTCTGGAACACATTTCTTCTCCAAACTACAATTTTAAGAAATCTCTATAATTTCACTTACCAAGATAATGCTAGGGAGCTCTGGTGGCTTAGTGGTAAGGAGCTGAGCTGCCCACTCAGAAGCACACGGTTTTGAGTCCACAGCTGCTCTCCCAGAAAAGATGGGCACTCTCTTCCCATGGGACTTACTGCCTCTGAACACTCACTGGAGGGTCAGCTAGGAGTTGGTTCCAATTCAACACAATCCTAGATCTTTCAAGGTAATCAGTCTTCTTTTAAGTTACTCATTTATTGTCCTGCCTTTCTAATCAATGATAAATTCTTTAGAAGAAAGTACATGTTAGGAATCTTTAGTTAAATGCAGTAACTTAATTTAGCCCAGCGACTGGCTGCATCCCAGTTACTGCCATCTGGATCAATGATGAGATATAAAGATCTGCAAAGCTTTACAGGGATGGGTTGACTCACTAATGCTAGCTGGTTACATTTTTCAAAAAACTAAAATCCATCCTGGGTCCTGCAGGTCATACTTAATCCCATATTCCTAGTGATGTCAAATAGGCAGCAAGACAACAGTCCAAAGAAAATGTCCTTTCTGGATGTAAGAGCTAAGGCAACCATTGCCTTCTTTGAGGTGAGTGCAGTCTAGCCAAACAGGTAAATAGGATGTAAAATAAGTTAACCAATAAACCAAGAACAACAAAAGAACCCTCTCTCACCTTTCACTGAAAACACAAAAATTGCTAAAACTTCTGAGTGAAATAGAAATACTGTTGCTACTTTTAAAATTTATTCTAATTTATGCTATGCATAAGAATAGATAGGGAAGTGAAATTCACAGTAATTCTTAGAAGGGGAAAAGACAAAATTGAGCTGTGCAGTAAGAGCATGTAGATATTTTGAGGACGGAGTGAATAATCTCCTTAATCAGAGAAGTAGGAATTCTTAACTACTTCCCTATAAGGTTATCACTACTTAAGTTTCCGTTCCAGCTGAGCCAATGAAATGTGGGAAAAACAATTTTTAAATTAACTTCAATTTGAAGTTGGTAAATCCAGGATTACAGTTAAGTTCACCATTTTCACAACATTAAACCAATCGTCCTTTACAGTCAAGGGAGTTCTAGTGTCCTAGTGGATAAGGAGTCATGCTGCCAACTCAAAGGCAGGTAAAGTAGTTTGAATCTGCCAGCTGCTCCTCCTCATTGCCTCTGAAAACCTGCTGGACGGTGGGCTCTGACCTGGTTCCAACTCAAAGGCAATGAACGAGTTGTTTAAAATCAAGTTGCTTGTCAAAATTAACAAAGAGTTCCTGAGAAAGACTGAATATCTCCCCTCCTCAAGAATGAGTTTGGGAAAGGTTTAAACTTGGTAGTTTACTAAATTTACTTGGTAAATGTTTATTTTTAGACAAAAATAATAATAAATACTACAAGTGAAGAAAAACTTCAGAAACTCTAAATCTCCTTATTATTCATCCACATTAAAGTCAATCTGTCCTCAATTTGTACTTAAGGTGCTGGCTTTCTTGAAATGCCAAGTCTATTAATTCTCCACTTCTTGATTCCTCTAATCTTCCAGTTTGATGCATAACATCAAGTACTGGCTTCTCATTGTTTTTGCATGTGCAAATTATAATCTAAAGTCCAGATAATTTATAGTTCTTTGGATCCCTCAGTTTAGTGCACAGAAGAGAGTAGTTTATAAATTATTTCTATTGTCATCCAATTGCCCATTTTAGTTAGAAAAGGGAATGTCACTTTCCTCAACAGCATGGTTTCAAGTAGTGGAAAACACTGAAAATGACTGATCTTCTCAATAAGTGTTGAATAATAAAGACAAAAAAATGCATTCCTTGTTATGTCCAAAATCCTTCTCTCCACCCTGGTGCAGATTTAGGGTAGAAATAAGCAGTGATCCTTCCCATAAAAAACTACTGCTCATTGTCTCACATTTAGTATATCTGCTCCAAACACCTTCAAGTAGGTGATAAATAGCTCCTCATTTAACGTGTTTTTTCCTTTCTTATGTTCCCACACAAGAAACAATCTCTATCTCTGAATTCTTTGGCATTTGACACAGGTCTCCTGTACATGGTAAACAATTTAAAAAATTCTTTTTTTAAACTTTATTTTCCAGAATATGAAATCTCACAGTACTTACTTATTTTCACTTATAAGTAAGTAAAAGTCCAAAAAGTGTTTGTATTGTGTTAAACAAACTGTCTTTATAAATAAGTGCATCAAGTAAAAAAAATTTCTTCCCCCTCCCCTTCAAACATCACAGTAGACCAATTCTTGCTAGTAAATCATCAAATGAAACAAACATATATACCCTTCTGAATTCTAAATAGCTATTGCTATGCATCAGCTTAAGGCTCTGAATCTTGTAACTTACAGATGTGGTATGGACATTAAGCTTTACTCTCTTCCAAGTTCCAGGCAGTGACTTTATTGCCTTCAAATTGGAATAAAGCTGATTCGGAATTTACTTACTGACACTGTATGATCTAATGGAGGTATAACTTACACATATTATACCCCTCAAACTATCTAGCACCGTATATAAAATTCTCAATACTAATTAGTCCAAGAATAACAATGATAGTATTAAAAACACTAATTTATTATTTTTCTTAAATACAATCACATTCTGTCTTTCAGATCTTTCTGGCCGTGTTCTCTGCTACCTTCACTATCTTGAATAATTATGTAGCTGTTATTGCTTGATACGAGTAACAACTCCTAGAGCATTAGTAATGAGAAGTTAAGGCATCATAAACTTTAAAAGGTCCAAGCTGGTTTGCATGTGGTGGAAAACTAGTGTATAAAATTGCACCATCTCTTTTCTACCTTTAGGCTTTTCCAAAGTGCTAAGATTTCTGTCCTGCATAGACTAAAACTCTGGTTCTTTGACTTTTGGATGGCTTACTTATCATAAAATATGGTTTGTTGGCAAAAATGTTTCTAGTTTGAAAAGGGTACAACTCAGCTAAAAAAATCACCCAGCACATATACCATTATCTACAAGAAAAACACAGTAACTCTGTCCTCTTTTTACCGCTAGTAAAAGGTAAAAATAGTTGTGTGTTTTTTAAGAGTTGCTACATGATGTTGTGTTAGAAGATACACTGCTTCAGAGACATTTATACTTTTGCATTTAACCTCTCCCTTTATTAGATTCAGGTATCAGGATAATCCTGATTCTAAAATAGAGAATTCAATCACCAATACTGAAAGCTGTGTCTTCCAAGGTCAATAGTTCCTCACTATGCACAGGCAGTGAAGTGCTATTCTCTGAATTTAAACTTTGTCAAGGCTTGGAAAAATCTGAGGTGAATGCAGCAAGGCCCTTTTAATATTCAGTAGGAAACTCAATAAATGTGAATTTCAAAGTTTCAAGACTGACCCATTACATAGAAGTATCATAGGCTTTTTCTTAGGGTAGTGAATCTAGTGGTTGTCAAAGTTAAGGAGGCACATGCACGATTTTACTTAAGTTCCTGCTGTCTTCTGTACAGAAAATGTACTCAGTCTGAGGAAAGGCCTAAACATTATTTGTCAGGCTGAGCTCTTCCCAAGAGTATGATGAAGCTAAGGGAAAACACCAAGAAGCCATTCATATAAATGTCCTGGTGTGTGCATCTCTGAGTGAAAAAAAAGAACATGTCCAAGAAAATGGGTGTTAAAAACAAGAATTTAGATGAGCCAAAAGCTTAGCAATCAGTAATGGCTCTGAAAGTGTTTAAAGGTAAAGCAAAGCAAAATTCTGAAAGGAAAAAAAAAATTCTGAAAGAAGGTTAAAAGAGCCTCACAGGAGAAACTTCCAATGCATTTTCTATCCTTCTGCTTGTTCTCGTTATCCCAGGCTCTGGGTCAAAGGCACCCTTCTTTGAAAAGCCAGGCTCATGATGAGAATGCTTTCTGGTCCTCACTTTTCCCAGTCAAGTCCCTACATCCAAATGGTCTGATTTCTCCAAATCTCATCACTTCATAATCTACAACAGGAGTCAGCCCCATAATTATTTCCTGAACTTGAGCACTGATCTCATTGAATTTCCCTACATAATTTTTTATTCTCTGAAAAATGGTGTAAATAAAATAGACTAAGGTCTTTTTCTGGGCTAGTACCAGGCAATTGAATTGAAATACAGGACTACTCAAGAGAATATTCCTCTTGTGAGCATGATCAAACACGTGGTATTATGCATTCTCCTAAGTATAAAATATTATTTCAATAATAAATTATTATCAGCCATGGAACTCAATATAATGGTAAATCACACTCTGATGTGACAATTCAAAAGGAGACAGTGCTCCACTGGGTAAAGTTAATTAAGAAAAATACTTTAAATACCACATCGCTGAAGACTCCTAGTAGGCATGGCCCGCATCAGTTACTTTAAAAATAACAGTCATAATGGGGAAAGAGTAAGCATCATGCTCACTAAGGCAGGCTACTGGACTGCTCTGATTAAGCACTGCAGTTCACAGATAAGCACTCCCACATCTTCACTTCAAGTGACTGAATCTTTCTTCTTCCGAAATGGTGATTTTAGCCTCTTCCACACACTGCTTTTGGGTTTAGACTTTTTCTCCATGGCCAGCACTGCCTCCTTTTCTTTCCTACGTATCTCCCGAACAAGGGCATGGAATACATCATCAATATAGTAGCGGTAAGCAGCAGATGTCTCAAAAAAGGGACAGCTGAATTCTCTTGCCAACGCTAACCCTTCTTCTTTGGTGACCTTTAAAAACACAAAGGTGAGAAAAATGTAGAAATTTAGTAATAGTGGGAAACAATTACAAGCTCTGGTAGTCTAGTGGTAAGAAGCTGTGCTGCAATCCCAAAGGTACATAGTTCGAATTTACTAGCTGCTTTATTGGAGGACAGACAGTCTCCTGCTGTGTGATTTACTGCCTCTGAAAATCCTGCAGAGAGTCATGGATCCGTTCTGAATCAATGGTATACCAAAACAACAACTCAAAACAGTGAATGGATCACCTTAACAGAAAAACAGAAATCTTTGGGTGGTACAAGAAGTTAAAGACTGATAAGGAGCCAAAAGATCAGCAGCAAAAACCCACCCAGAAATGGCTCTGAAGACCCTCTTGGCAATTTGCATCTGCAGTGTCACAGACTGGAAAGCCCCATGGAGCAGTTCTATTTTATGTATGTGGGTCTCTATAAGTTGAAATCAATTCAATGGCTATCAATAACAACAACAGGAAGAGAGTCTCTCAACCCTACAGATGTTTAAGCAAAATACAGAGATTTTTATGCTTGGGAGTCTGGATTATATAATTTTTGAGGTTTCTTCTGCCTTCTAGTATTATGATTCTATTTCTAGTCTATTGTAAAGGTAACTTTTGGGAGCTCTGGTGGTGCAGCTTGTAGGGAGTTGCACTGCGAACCCAAAGACAGCACCTCTCTGGCAGTTTGCATCCACCAGCAACTTCCAAACGAGCAGCCTGAATCCTCCAGCAACTGCAGAAAGATGGACAATTGCCTCCTATGCAATTTATAGCCTTCAAAACCTGCTAGAAAGTCGGCTACGAGTTGACTCCAACTCAAGGGCAATGAATTTGTGTTTGAGTTGTATTTAGGAAGATGGAATGGCTCAAACAAATAACTCAAATCACCACTATCAGTAAAGTGAGTTCTGGGAGACCAGGAGCACTAGCAGCGTGGCTGACCAACTGATCAAAGAGCAGACTGCAGAATTCAAAGAATCCTTTTCACAATTTTATCAGGATGGTGATGGAACTGTAATGAGGTCTCTCAGGCAGAATCCCACAGAAGCACAATCACAGGACATGATTAATGAAGTAGATGCTGATGGTAATGGCACAACTGACTTCCCAGAATTTCTGACAATGATGGCAAGAAAAATGAAAGGTAGTGAAAAAAGAAATTAGAGAAGCATTCTGTGTGTTTGATAAAAATGGCAATGGCTATACTAGTGCAGCAGAACTTTATCACATGATGACAAACTTTGGAGAGATGATAAAGAGTTTGATGAAATGATCAAGGAAGCAGATATTGATAGTTGATGGTCAAGTAAACCATGAAGAGTCTGTACAAACTATGACAGTAAAGTGAAAAAATTATACAGGATGTGTTAAATTTTATTTTTAAAAAATTGTTTATTTGCCTTTTCTTTGTTTGTAACTTATCTATAAAAGGTATTCTCAAACGGTCAAAACATATGTATGTATGTATAGTAATTAGGAGTTCATTCCTCCATGTTTTCATCCCTTTTCTAACTGGCACTGTCCTGAAACTGTACTTTAGAAAACTGATCAAGCAGTGTGTTGCATGTGGCTTTCTCTGGATACATCAAAGTCCTTCTGCACATCTAAGCTTAGAAAGAGTTGGTCAAATGAAGAAATATCTGGATTATGCCTTTTTTTAAGTAGTTTTCTTTAAGGAACTGTCATGTTGTTGTTAAGTGTGCGGTTGTAACCCTGCATGGATGCTGGACAATCAACAATATGTATTTAAAATTGCACTATTGTAAAACGGGTGTACTATCCAGGTACTTAGACACTATTTTTAGTATTTCTGCTCCTGTATCAGAAATATTTTCTTTTATGGTTACTTGCCTTCTAAACTGTTTAGCCACTTAAAAGAAAACTCTGCTCATGACATAATTTGCCTCAAATCCATTCCAAGTTATTTATATTCCATTAAAAAAAATAAAGTCAGTTCCAACTCATTATGATCCTCTATCAGGTTTCTGAGGCTGTAAACTGCAATGGGGAGACTACCTATTTCCCCCCAGGAAGTAGCCAGTGGAACCACAGGAGACCTTGCAACCTTTGTGTCAGCAGTACAACTTGCTATTGACTATGTCGCCAGAGCTTCTTATGGAATAGCTATTGTACACACAATCTCCTGATAGTTTTCATTTTAAGGATGAAAACACAAAGAGATATGATGTTTACTTTCTTAAATGTTGTACACTGTGTACCACAGAGTCGGAACCGACCCATAGCTGACCCTCTGGAGGGTTTTCAAAGGCAGTTATTTGCATGGGAGATTGCCCATCCTTCTCCAGCTGGTGGCCTCAGTGTGCCTTCAGGATTGCAGTACAGCTTCTTGCCACTAGGCTACCAGAACTCCCTACCTTCTTTTATATATACATGTCACATACGCTTTATTTAAAACGCATTCTTTGGTGGAAGTGGACTGAGGCTTTACTGGTATATTCCTACTTTTCTTCTAATTTTAATTTTAAAAAGTATTAAGAACTCAAAATGGAGATATTCAATTATGGCTATACTCGAATTTCTCTCCAAGGTTGAACTACATATGTATCTCTAAACTGGTTTCTCAAACAAGGAACAACTGGGAGGCATTATGAATTTAACTTTTGTCAAGTTACTATTAGTACTTGGGTACCCTTCCTTGCTTCAACTATTGGTCATGAAAGTGCCTGTTGCTCCGTATTTTATCTCGATACCAAATAGTACAAGTGTAAATAGACTTGTTACCTGGGAAGAGTATCATGTATCCTAAAATATTCTGTAATTCTGACCTGAATTACTCCTACTATTCACCCACAATAATTTCTGAGACTGAAAATGAACAATCCATGACTCTTTATATACTACTGAGTCCTCCATTTGTCACCTGATAATCCTGTGAATTCTGTCCTGAAAAAGGATTTCTAGAGCTCTGGTGGCCTAGTGGCAAGGAGGTGTACTGCAATCCCAGAAGTGCACAGTTCAAATCCACCAGATGCTCTGCTGGGGAAGGAGGAACAATCTCCTCCTGTACCAGTCAGAACTGATTTGACAGTACATACACACACACACACACACACACACACACACACGAAATAAAATAAATTTTTTTTTTTTTAAAAAAAAGGATTTCTAGAATCCAGATTTAAGAAAAGAATAAAAGCAAATTGGATGGTTTCAAGTTTAGGGATAAGCTAATTCTGAATTTTTATTTTAAGACAAAGGAATCTATAAATAGGAGGGGGGGAAATCCCCTAAGATTACAGATAATATTTTCTTCTCTGGTCTTACCTGCCTTAGTTGTTTTAGGTCAGACTTGTTCCCCACAAGAACCACAGGAGTATCATCAGTACGTCGAACTCTATAAATAAGCTGTTTAAACTCTCGAACTTCATGGAAACTTCGGCGGTCCGTGATGGAATAACAGATGATAAAACCTTCACCTGCCCTCATGTACTGATCACGCATGGCTGTAAACTCTGCCTAAAGGGAAATAGGGGCCATTAATGCATCTATGCGACCTATAACTATGTACACACTAGCTATTCAGATTAAAGAAGAGATATGCTAATTACCTGCTATCCTGAGTCAGAGTGCATGAAAAATTAAGAGAGATGGACTAGTGATTTTCTCTGCATTAAGTCTTTCCCTCCCCTTGATTAGACTGAAAAGCTTTTACTCAGAGCATTCTGGGATTTAATACCTGTCCAGCTGTATCCAAAATGTCCAGATTGGCAGGCTCATCATCAATACGTATTCTGATTTTATAAGCATCTTCTACAAGAGAGAAGAGAGGTATATTAGAAAGTTACAGATGTTGAAATAAATACCTCATTTTAAAACTCCTGTTTAAATGCCAGAGAATAGATTTCACCTAAGTTCTTTAATTGCCTAAATTCATTGAAAATAAATTATATAAGGAAGGTGTTTCTCCGGTTTTGTTTTGGTGTTTTGTTTTGTTTTTCCATGCAGTCAATGAAGCAGATTAGTCATAGCTTAAATTTATAAAACCTCATTTGCAATTTTATTTTAAGCGGTGAGCTCTGGTGGCCTAGTGGCAAGAAGCTGCACTGCAATCCCAGAGGTGAGCAGTTCGAATCCACCAGATGCTCTGCTGGAGAAGGAGGGACAATCTCCTTCTATACTAGTTGGGTCCATTTTGACGGCACACACACACACAAAAATAATAAAATTTTTTTAAAAAGAAACAATTTTATTTTAAGCTAAAAAAGAATTCCAAGGGTATTATTTAGAAAATTAGGTCAGGAAAGTCATTTTACATTTATTCATTCCACATTTACAATAATTCACAACAGGTATTTCATTCCTATTGTACATATATTTTTTTTAATTTTTTATTTTATTATTTTTGTGTGAGTGTACCGTCAAATCAGATCTAACTGGTACAGGAGGAGATTGTCCCTCCTTCCCTGGTAGAGCATCTGGTGGATTCGAACCATAAGCCTCTGGGATTGTAGTTGCAGCTCCTTGCCACTAGGCCACCAGAGCTCCCCTGTACATATATTTTTTTTTTTAAAAGAAAAGTAAATTCTAAACAGTAAATATCTTCTCTAGTCCAGGATTAAACTCAAAACTGCATTCTCAAAATGTTTTATGTACTAAACTGTAAGCTATAGAATATCTACATTTCAGTGGTATAGGAAAAAAAGAAAAACAATAACTATTTAATAAAAATCCTTTATAGAAGCACATTTCTTTATTTACTTTATTCTGATAACCTTGGAAAACGCAAAGGAAAAAAAACAAAACCAAAACCACAAAACTCCATTCAGTATTTCTATTGTTTGTTGTTGTTGTTATGTGCCGCCGAGTCACCTGCGACTCATAGCGACCCTATGCAAAACAGCCCTAAACTCCGCTCTGTCCTGTGCCAATCTCAGAAACAATTATTGTTTATATCCTTATTGATCTTCCTTTAATATTTTTTCTCTTGAGTCTCTCCTGCTTCTAACTTTTCTTCAAAGATGGAAAGTCCCCTATATCAATGTTTCTCAAGCTATAGGTCATGATCATTCTTAATAAATGAGCTATGAAATCAATTCAGTAGGTTGAGAATAGCATTAAAATAAAAATGTAAAATAAAAATTTAAATACAAGAATGAATCACATGTAGTGAGTGTGCAGTTGCATATTTTAATCACATATACCCAAGTGTTGAGGACTCTCCTTCATAGGGTCACTGAGTTGCCTGCACCTCGATGGCACTTAACAACAACAACAACAATAATACCTGACTGAATACACACACTTTGGGTTCTGACTCAATGACTCCCAACAACAACATAAACATATGTTGGCCTAATACATAAGGAGATATAGTGGCCTAATGAGTAAAGAGTTGTGCTGCCAACCCAAAGGCAAGTGGTTCAAATCTCCCAGGTGCTCCAAGGGAGAAAATGGGAAATTTCCTTCAGCGTGATTTGCAGTCTCTGAAAAGCCATTGGAGGATTAGCTATGAGTTCTTTCTGACTCAATGGCACATTACATCATCACTATTACACATACTGAATATCCAAAAGAACAGTCTTTTGACTGCCAAAAAAGAACAAACAAATATGTCTTGGAAAAAGTGCAGGCAGAGTGCCTTTCGGAGGCAAGAGTGATGACTGGGTTTCTAAGGTTGTAAATCTTTACAGGAGACTGTTCACCTTTCTTCTGAGGCTTCAAACCACTGATCTTTTGGTTAACAACCTGACAGGTAATGCACTACACCACTATTGTTGTTATGTGTGGTCAGGTTGATTATGACTCACAGCAACTCTATGAACAACAGATTGGAACCTTGCCCTATCTTGCATCATCTACATAATCTTTGACTGCTTGAGACCATTGCTATAGTTACTATGTCAATCTATCTCACTGAGGGTCTTCCTCTCTTTCTGACCCTGGTAGTGGGGGCAGAGGTCAGAGTCAATCTATAGCTGACTCTCCAGCAGGTTTTCAGAGGTTAATTAAATGGGAGGGGAGAGTGCCCATCTTTCCCCTGTGGAGGAGTTAGTTGTTAGATTCAAACTGCGTACCTTTATGGTGGCAGTGCAATTTCTTATCACTTATCCTTAAATTAGCAATAGCAGCTAGAAAGAATAAGCAACTTTGAGGACAGTAAATTTATGTTAACAAAGGTAGAACAACTAGGAGAATGAAATGGTTGTACAACTTAAACAATGTTAAGTACTGTTACTGAACTGTACAGGTAGAAATTGTTGACTTGTATGGACTACTGTTTATGTTCTCAACAGCAACAAACCATTTGAAACAAAATGCAATATTCAATGAGATGAAGGGCCATATTTTTTGCTCACTCACATGTGGCTAGGATCTACTCGCTTGACACATAATAGGAATTCATGAGGCTGTATATACTGTTAAATCACATAAAAGTGTCACAAGAGTGGGTAACTAGAAAAATATTCAACTCATTGATTTAAAAAAAATGTAATTCCTATATATACAAATATATGACTTTTCACTTTAAAGAAAAACTACGTTGGGATTTCTCAAGTACATTACCCGAAATCCTAAACAGATTACATTATCCTAGGTCCTAAATGAATTTTCTTCCTCAAATTTTCAGGACAATAAAATCTCTGTAAAATGTTCCAAATTTATATAGTATATGGAAAACAAACAAGAACTCTTTATATTTCTACCAATCTACATGGGCATCTATAAACACATTCAAAGCTGGGTTACCATAAAACACAGGTGTGGTGAAAAACAGAATAGCAAAGGTCTTACCCAATGGAAACATTCCTTAAGAGACCCAGGGTCATGACAAAGAGTGTAGCATACTGAAAATACTTATAGTTATGGCAGATCTCTGTGCCTCTCCTGCAAATTTTTTCTTTCATACTAGAATATAGCTTCTTAGAACCCAAACTGATTCCTTATGGTACGATAAGGACAAAAATGTTAATCTTAGTAAAGACTAACAACTAAAGAAGCACAGCAAATCAGCAGACTTTTTCCATCTACTAGGGCTGTGTCAACAATGGATACAACCAGTTTAGGAACTTCAGGTACAAGGAAGTAAATGAAGGGGAAGAAGCCCAGCCTCTGCCTGTCTGGGTTGTTAAGAGTTCAGCAGGCTGGCTCTACTTGTTTTTCTGCTTCCTTTTGTAGACGTTCAGACCAGCTGACTCATAGTTACTTAGTCAGTCAGTCTCAAATCAGACACTTAGAGAAGTGACAGCAAGAAAAGTTTTCCATTAAGTACCTTTTAATCTGGCAATATCATATACTCAACCATAAAAATGTGACAAAGTCTCATTACTGTTCAATAACAGACAGGGTCTAAATAAAGATGGTTTATGTACATACAGAGGTAAGCGACGAAAAAAAAGAACACTATTATCAACTGATAGACAGTTGCTATAACAAATTTGAATCACACACCAAAAGAGGTTTAAAAGACAAATGTAAGCCATTTTAAGGCTGACATTCACCAAAAACACTTTCATGGGGTTTATCTGGAAATCTAAACTCTAACTTACCAATGGTGGGGTCATGATCTTCTGGAAATCGGTGGCTGATGAACTGCATGGTCATGGCTTCAAAACAAGAACTAAAAGTTAAAATCGCTCAAAGGTGAACCAGAAAAAGAATTCAAGCGCGAACACTGCAAGACAACACGTATTCATTCCATTTGTTTTCGGTAGGGTAATTTGTCACTTACCACTTTTTCCTACCCCGCCGGCCCCCAGCATCACAAGCTTGTACTCTCGTGAGAGCCCCGCTGGGCTGCTACAACAGTTACCAGCAGGGCGAGATCCAGAATCCATTGTCGCCTTGGGGAATCCGGGGCTATCCCAGGTGGAAAAAAAGAAGGAAATATTTACCCAGAATGGAGTCACAGAGATGACAGTCCTCAGGACAGTCCTTCCCACACTCCTGGCTCCCTACTGCACCCTTTCTGGCGGCTCCACCTCCAGACCTCCAGGACTCTACACTCATATGACACATTGCAGTTCTACGTACCATTAGTTTTCCCAGAAAGAAAAACACAAAACCCAGACAAAGGAATTCCCTTTTTTTGACTGGCGCACGACTGGGAAAGCTGAAACCTGACACCAAAAAGCACATTACCCCTAGGCTGCAGGGGGTCTTTGGCTACTGTCGCTGTGGTTCCGCCCTCTCCCTATTCTTCTCGGAGGTCCTTCCCTCCCCTAGCAACCATCATCCACTCTCCCTCCTCCTCTTAACCAACCCGATCCACCGCTAGTCGTACAGGAGGCCACAGCCCGGTGTGATAGCCCACGGGGTTCCCTGGGAGCCTCGAGCCACAGGGACTGAACCGTGACCCCTCCCGTCGCCGGGTAAAATGGCGCCACCGGCTGGAGGGGCGGGGCTCCACATGACGTGAGCGTCCGGCACCGCCCCCTCCCGGCGGCCGCAGCCTTGGCGCTCCGCTGAAGCTTATCGCTGGACGCCTAGTGGTAGTGTGATTTTGTGCCAAAATCAGGACTTAGTTCCCAAAGTAGCATTTCCGGGAGTTCTGGAGGCCTCATCCATAGGAGTTGTGCTGCCATGCTGTGTGGCATTTTAAATCTACCAGTAATGCCAGGGGAGAAAGATGGGCAATCTCCTGCAAGACCTACAATCCCAGATGGGGTCAGCAACGAGCTGGCTCCAGCTCAATGGCAATGAGAGCAAGAAAGTCACATTCCCTTCTAAAATGTTTTTTAAAATACAGCAATCGGTATTCTGATAAATTGCAGGTTATCAGGGCATAAAATAAGTTTGTTCTTGTTCATTGCCTCAAGTCAAGCACGACTCATAGCGACCCTATGAACAAAAGGCCTGAAGCCCCTCTACAACTATCAACATTTATCAAAGTTCATAGTTTCAAGAGGCATATAGTTTAGGAGGTCGATGCCACTCCTGCTTCCAAAAAGAGGGGTTTTTTGGCAGTATCTACCAAAGACTAGTATATACATATGTATCATATGCACAGCAATTCTGCTCTTAAGTTTATACCTAAAGGAAACACGTGCTTATGTCTAAAGATGTGTAGGATGTTTACAATGTTGTTTTTTGTCGTCGAGTCAGAACCATCCCACAGCTGCCCCTCCATTGGGTTTTCAGAAGCAGTAAATCACAGATTGCTTATCTTTCCCCTGCAAAGCACCTGGTAGATCTGAATTTCGGGCCTTAGAAATTGCAGTGCAGCTTCTTACCACTAGGCCACCAGAGCTGTTTTACTGTTGTTATAGGCCAGCTGGGTTTTCACAGGCAGTTTAATTGCATGGGAGGATGCTGCCTGTCTTTCTCCCATGGAACTGCATTACAGCTCCTTCCCACTAGGTCACCAGAGTTCCCTTCTTATAGCTAGCTACAATTATGGCTCTGAAGCTGAGCCAACTGCACCATCTCTTGACACTTCTAAACCTACTGCTACATGTCAATCCATCTCAACATCTTCCTCTCCTTCACTTGGTAGCTCCCTGCAACAAGCCCGAAGTTTGTGAGATGGAGCTTCAAAAATCTTCTCTCCAAGGAGCAGCCTGGTTTCACCCTCCAGGACAAATCTGTTTTTCCCCTTGGTAGTTCATGGTATGTTCAACACACTTTTCCAGGTCTTCTGTTACCCTTATTCTCTGTCCAGTTTGTAAGATGCACAGCAAGCAACTGAGACCATGACCTGCCATTAGTTACACCTGTGTCTCTAGACCAACATATTGCTCTTTAGCATTCTGGAGAGGTTCTTGAGAGTAGATTTCCCTAATGCAACTCATCAGAATGCAACTTTATAATGACCAAGTGGGGATCCGCACAACATTACTGTAAAATTATGGTACCATCTGGGTGCTATGGTTTGTGGATCTCCTGGCCCCTTCCACATTTGAAGTGGAAAATGGAAAACATTCAATTAGCCATGAATAAAAAAAAGTGGGTAAATAAATTTCAGTATAGAGTAGCTCTGCCATGAATAAAAAAAAGTGGGTAAATAAATTTCAGTATAGAGTAGCTCTGCGCTGTAACAAACTTGAAGGCAGCAGGTTTTATCTCAAAAGGGTGTTTTGATAGGTATCAAATGAGGTAACAAAACATCAGATCAATGTCTAGAAGAGTAAAAATTCAATAAACGTTTTGCCTAGTTGGACAGTGAATAGGGATAGAAAGAGAATTGATGACTTTCAGCTGTGGTGCTGGAGACGAGTGTTGCATATACCATGGACTGCTAGAACAAACAGGTTTGTCCTAGAGAAGGTGAAGCCAGAATGCTCCTTGGAGTAAAGGATTTGAAGCTTCATCTGACATACTTTGGACATGTTGCAAGGAGGGACTGGTCCTTGGAGAGGGACATTATGTTTGGGAGAGTGGAGAGACGGCGCAGGACAGGAAGACCCTCGACAAGATGGATCGATTCTGTGAGTGGAGTGCTGGGAATGAATGTGTTTGAGACAGCAAGGTTGGCACAGGATAGAACGGTGTTTAGGGTTCTTGTACATGGGGTCACTATGAGTCACAAACGACTCAATGGCACATAACATTACCAAATGGCTATAAACGCTTTATTTTTTAAACATTTTTATTTTATACTGGTTTACTTAGCAAAGTTCACTTGTTTTTCACACTGGATCTGTCACATCCTTTTTCTTTACCTACCCCTCCCTCCATCCATCAAATTGTGTGACCCTGTGATTAGGACACCACCCACCCCACCCCACCCCCGCAGACCTTCCTCCCCCTGCCTTGGATCCTCATACACATATTACTAGTTAATCTATTTCTACAATAATGGTCTTACACAGTATTTGTCCTTATGGAACTGAGTTAGCTCACTTAGCATAGTGCTCTCCAGTCCCTCCCAAGGTAGATAGTGCTTTACAAAATCATGGTGAATACTGCTATGAATATTGGTGTGCAAGTCTCCATTTGTGCCTCAGTTCTCATTTTCTCAGGGTATATTCCAAGAAGTGGAATAGATGGGTCATAGTGATCAGGTTTTTCAGGAAATGCTGAACTGCCTTTCAGAATGCATGTACCATTTCACAATCCCACCAACAGTGTATAAAAACTCCTCTCACCACATCCTCTCCAACAGTACTTGCTGTCTTATTAAAACTTTGCCACTAACTTGGGTGAAATGGTATCTCATTGTGGTTTTGATTTGCATCTCTTATTGCCAGTAACTTTGAGCATTTCTTCGTGTCTCTTGTCATCAGAATCTTCCTCTGTGAAAATTCTTTCCATGTCTTTTGAACATTTTGTAATTGCTATCAGTCTTTTTCTTTTGGAGACCCTGTAGAAGTCTGCAAACTTTTTATATGAAACCCTTGTTTCAAAAGGTATTGCCAAATGTTTTTTTCCCAGTCAAAAGGTTTTTTCACCCTGTTGGAAAATGTTTTTTGATGCGCACAGGGATTTAATCTTCAGAAGTTCCCATTCATCAATTTTATCCCTAAGATTGTACATTTCTGGCTGTTTTATATCCTTGTTGAGTATCAGTTGACCATACAGATGGGTCCATTTCTGGAAGTCTAAATATTTTATATACATAAAATCTTTCCAGAATCTATTTATTTCCCTTCATAAAGGTCAAATACAATGTTATTATCTAAACCAATAAGCTTTACTAAAAATTAAGCAAACTTCTATAGAAATGTTATTAGAAACTCAACTATACAACACACCAAATTAAAAAAAAAAAGACACTCTAAAAAATACTTTCATTTTGACATAAAAAAATTTCAGGTCTGAGTTTTCACACCAGCCCTTCCACTTTTCCTTTGCTCTCAACCTCCAGCTTTCTTATTCCTGGTTTACATCTCGCCTCTTAAAAGAAAAATCTAGTTTGAAGAATTTCACAGTCACACTAGGAATTAGCTCTCATTTCCTTTCTTTTCAAGAATTTTCTGATAAACCAGAGCTGTTATATTCCCTTTACCAGTGTCATCATCCAACATAAACGGACTAATGCTAAATTTCTTAAAAATAAATAAATAAATAAATAAATAAATAAATAAAAATCAAAGCTCCTGCAAGAAGCTGCACTGAAATCCCAGAAGCACATGTTTCAAATCCACCAGATGCTCTGCTGGAGAAGGAGGGACAATCTCCTCCTGTACCAGTCAGATCCGATTTGACAGTGCACACACACACACACACACACACAAAATCAAAGCTCCCTCGCTTGTTAAATTAATATACCAATCATGCTGAAATTCTTGGGTCTATATACAAAATTTTTTTCTGGTGAAGTCATCTTGTAATATCATTTTTCCTGAGTCTAAAAATTTGTCAATTTTAGTGTACTGAGGAAGAAAAAGAACACAGAAAGCAAGCAGAATATTTGTACATTTATTTATAATGAAATTATGATCTAAATATTTACAACATATAGGAAACGTGGACACATTTATACAAAGCCAGCCTGTATTCAAATGTGCAAAAATGACAGTTCAGTATCTCAAACTACTTCTGGTTCAGTAGACAAGCTCCTTCACTTTCACACATCAGTATTTGATACAAAAAGGTTTTTGGCAAAACTGTAATGCCAAGAGAAAAGACAAGTTGCAACTTCAGTCACCAAGTTCAACCATCCTTCTGGGGCAGCCAAATCTCTCTACTTCAGCTGCAACCATCTCTGAGAGAGAGAGAGACCACTGTTTCATTTCTGTGATGAGTTCCAACCAGCATTTGATCAAGAAGTTTTCACCGACCCAGCTGAAGACAAGGAGCTTAGAAGGGAAATGTTTTTAAAAAGCAATGGCTATCTGAAACAAGTGTGCCCGAAGGTGCCAGCTCTGGATCACGTTTATTGTTTGTTTTGTTTTTCATTTTTTTGTTTTTGTTTTTAAAAAAAGGCACAATGAGAAATATAATTTCATTTTGCTACCCAGGACCCAGCTATAATCAACTGTTTTAATTTAGTAAAATGGTGTTTTCTAAAGAAAAAAGAATAAAAAAATTAAATATGAATGAGGATCTCTCTCTTAGAATGAGATACTGAAAGGATGATCTTAAAACTATTTTCCCACTATTAAGTGTTAAGGCTTTGTTTATAACCAGTTACTTTCAAAACTGACTAGCAATAGTGGAACACAAATAAAACTTCCTATCAAAGTAGGGGTTGTTCATTTGGAAAAGGCTGGGTCTGGTCAGACAGGTACGGAATGACCTTGCTGGGACGCTCTGTTGTACAAGTATATTTCATCCACTTTAAAAAAAGGTTCAGAGACAAGTTTGTGATTCTAAGTAAATTTTAACAGATGCTATGCCACTGCAGAAATAAGAATGTTTTAAAAAGAACGGAGCCCCTTGAGGCAGGGTAAACGGCATCTCCAACTTCTGCAAAGGTCCAAGATGGTTCTCAGTACATGCCCCAAAGTCTTGTTAAATCAATACATGCATTATTGCTAAAAAGTTGTCACGGAGGGTGAACTTCTGGTCCACTGTTTCCTAGGGGGCCATCCAGAATGGCATCTGTTGTTTAGCTCGTGGTTGTGATGAAGGGTACTGATATCCCAAACTCCAGCCCTGTGGGAAACTACTTGCATTTTTATGACCTCCGTGTTCCTCCTCTTCATCAGATGAATCTGCAGCATATGCTACCAAACCAAAACCTTTCTCTGTAGTTTTCATCTTCTTGGCAGGATAATCTAGAAGAGAAAACACCCCAACCCATATCCCACAGAAAAAAAAAAAAAGAAAAAAAGAAAAATACCATAAAATCGTTAATAAAAAAAAAGTTAATTATAAGTGGTTAGTTGGACACCATTTTGAGGTCACAAGGTCAATGGTCACCGAAAAACGTTGATGATCACACGAAAAACAGCACCAGCATCAGCAAATGTGAATCCACCAGAACCATGTAAGAAAACAGAGAAAGAAAAAAAGAAACACAAAAAAAGAAAAAAAAAGAAAGAAAAAAAGAGGAAAGTTAGCAAGTGAGTCACTAGGGGCTGATATTCCACCTTTTAGAGTTAAAAGAAAAGAAGTTAAGAGAAAAAAATTTTCTTCTGTTCATTTTTATTATGACTGTAAGTGATAAATAAAAAGGATTGCCTGTACCTCTATGGTATTTAGAGTTCTGGGATACTGAGAGACAATATTTTTCTTTAACAGCCACAGGCTGCCCATCACCAACCATTAGAGTTGTGGCTTAGTTCCCAATAAAAAGAAAAAACAATTGACAGTAAGACTGTGTCAAACAATCTCCAAATAGTCTGATAAATATTAGCAACGAAATTCTGAAATGACCTACCAATTGCTATTGTTGCCTATAGTTTTAATGTTCCTGATAGTTCAACTAAAATGTAAATTGTCTGACTCTTTTCTAGCTAAATTTTTAGTTTTAAATAAAAGCCTGTGTAATTACATGCATCTATAGGGTGGCTTTTTAAAAAAAGTTATTAGCCGGCAAGTAATAGTTAAATTAAACACCTAAATGAGTATCAAACTGGAAAATAACAACTTAAGCCAGCCTTACTCAGTCACTCCCTGTTCCCCCAGCTACACCTTACTCACCATGGCTCCCGGTCAAGGTCCCAGAACCATTCCTTTCATCATTCTCTGGTTTTAGTCCAGTCACTGGAAAGGCTGGTGGAGGCATCAACTGCCTGTTGGAAAACACAAGGACAATATTATAGACAAATTAAATACATTTTAACTTATTGAGCAGATAAGAATGTTAACAATTAATTTCAACAGTTTCTAAGTGATCCTTCATGCTATTATAAAGCTTATAATGTATCAGGTCTTGCCTACTTAACACAGACCATGCCAAAAATGGCATTGTGGAAAGAAGTCAGTTCTTAATTATAAAAGCTAATACAATTATTTAAGAAAGGGAAAAAAAGCACTGGATAGGAGGCTGAACTTTTATTCAAGTATCTCCACCACATGACCCCAGGTAACAATAACAAAAATGGCCAAAATAAGCAAGGCCTGGCAGCACAGGATATTAAATGTTATACTGCTAGCCAAATAGTCATCCATTTAAATAGACTGGCTAGCCTGAAGGAGAAAGATGGGTGGGCTACTCATGTAAAAATTAACCCCCTCAGAAACCCAATAGAGGGTCCCTATGAGTTTGGACTGACTTGACAGTATCGGGTTGGGTTTTTTAGTAAATGTGAGCATAACAGTTTTTAAGACTAGGAAAGGTCCATTACTGCTTTCCACCATTGTATCCACAAGAGTTTGATTGAAATTTTCAGTAAGAACACTGAAGGCTGTGATAATGAGCATTACTGTCACTACTGGTGCAAATAACATTGACTGTATTAATTTACTTATGTTTCAATGAACTTACCTGTCCCTCTCTCGCTCTTTGCCTGAGGAACTTGCCGGCTTCGATCCTGCACCTTCAATCTCATTCTGACTGGAGAAGCCTGTACCTAAATTAGTCATATGAATGGGTCCATGCTATGAGCAGAAAAATACAGTGGCATTAGCAAATCTACAATCTGCTGTATTAGCTTTAGCTCCTTAATGTAACTGTCAAGCACCTCATCTTTCTTATAAATTGAAATAAATTAACCTGAACTACATAGCTCTCTGGGATCTGGAATATAATTGATAAAAACAGAAATGATTTTCTCATGGCCAAAGGCGCTGTCCTTCATTTTGTTAGGTATATTTTCAATTGACTAGCCTTAACTTAACCAGTCTGTATACACCTAATTAAAATAAAAAGTAGAAAATGCCTCAAAATGTGGCAAAAAAAATGCTTTAAAGAGATTTTACCAAAAAGCAATGGTGCAGCTTCTCTGTTAAAGAAAAAAAAAACCCGCACCAAACTATGTATTTTAATAATCTTTACAGCTCTGTATGTGGACATAATCATTCTACTTCTAGCAATCTTTTAGGGGGAAAGAAAAGATTGGTGAGTTAGGGGGGATAAAAGCATCCCTTTTTTTGAGGAGAGGGGGGGAAAAGGAACCCAAATTGAAAGTCAAGGTTTTAAATAAAACTACCATTAGTAGAATGGTAGCTTTTGTGCAAATCTTAAGGAAGAAAGATCCTCAACAGGCTTCAAGTCTGTTGTATAAACTCACCGGGAGGTGCAAGCATTCATCATCATTACTTGCTAACTCAAAGGTTGCAAGTTCAAGATTGCCCAAAGCTGTTTTGGAAGACATGCCTGGCACTCTACTTCACTGAAAACCCTAATAAGCATAGTTCTACTCTGACATGTTCAAGGTAGAACCAACTTAAGGCAAGTGGTCAACTTGTTGCATAAAGAAAGCTGCAGGAGACAATTCTACAGAACTTCCAAATATGGGAAAGGTTTCTCAATGTGGGCACAGTGACCAAATTAAACCTAGGGGAAATCCCACCGAAAGGTTTTTAAATTCATTGCTCCAATTGGCTAAAAACCCAATCTAAAGGGATTCCAGAAAGCAGAAATCCTAGTATTGTACTGGGCAGACTGTTGATACATATATAAACTGATCTATTTTTACAGGGAGCATACAGTTGGAGAATATGAGGAAAACAAGACAAGGTATTTTATTTAACCTGGTATCCAAGAAGTCCAGATTCTCGTTCATCTGGTAGCTCTTCTGTGAATCGCCTCTTCTGTGCCTGAGGTTGAGTTGGGAGTGGGGGCTGGGGCTGGGGCGGGGGACCAGCAGGCAAGGCAGTTTTGACAGGAGCAGCAGGAATAAAAGGACCACTCATCGGACTCTGGGACCAAAAAAAGGGAAGAAAAACTAGTGAGGATGCCATACCAATTAGGAAATAATAGTTACAGGGGAGCTCCGGTGGCCTAGTGGTAAGGAGCTGCAACTACAATCCCAGAGGCGCACGGTTCGAATCCACCAGATGCTCTGCCGGGGAAGGAGGGACAATCTCCTCCTGTACCAGTCAGATCTGATTTGACGGTACACGTACACAAAAATAAAATAAAAAAAGAAATAAAAATTAAAAAAAAAAAAAGGAAATAATAGTTACAATATACTTTAGTGCTCTATACACCTTATGACTCTTTTCTCTTTTGGTCTTTAATTTCCTTCATGTAACTTGGTCATAGTTTTTAGTGGTATGATCTAGCCGTTCTACTGTAGTTGTGTAAAGTCAAGTTGGAACAGACCTGTAGTGAACCCTCCAGAGGATTTTCAAAGGCAGTAAATCACATGGGAGGAGACTAACCATCTTTCTGCCAAGGAACAGCTGAGCGATTGAAATTGCATACCTTTGTGTTGGCAACACAGCTCCTTACTGTTAGGTCACCATAGCTCCCTAAGCCTTTCTACTAGGGGAACTAAAATTGACAATCTGTGTTATCGCTCTCAAGAAAAACTTGTAATGTTGTTTGGGGTATCAGGGCAAACATGCTGCAGCCTTTGCCTGGTTCAGGCAACATCAGCATCAATATTCAAAAGTTCTTATATCAACATGATTAGTTCTTTTTATTTCATAATTGCTAATCCATGTCATAATTGCTAAGCCAATGTCATCTGTCACTTCCATGATTATATTAAGGTGCTCTATCAAGAGCAAGTTTGAGACAATGACATTTAATAAAACATGAGCAAAAAACAATGTACAGTAGATTAAAAAAAAACTCCCAAAGGAAAAATCTACCGTTACTATTACCAACAAACATTTCTTAACGCTACCCTGAGATAACATGAGTACACTTTTCATGGACAAAATCCAAAAATGTGGATGTTGGTGTGATGTACTGTACTGTTGAGTCAGAACTGATGACCCATAGCTGACCTTCCAGCAGATTTTCAGAGGCAGTATCCTGCATGGAAGAGACTGCCCATCTTTCTCCTGCAGAGCAGCTGGTGAATCTGAACTGTATACCTTCAAGCTGACAGCACAGTACCTTACCAGTAGGCCATTAGAACTTCCTTTTTACTCATAACTAAATTCAAGTACTGGACAGGTTACATTATATATCATCAGTTAAAAAAATAAGCCATGATGCATCCTGGCAGTCTAAGATCCTCACTATTAGCCACTGTTTTATTACTTTCTAATTCCAAAGAAATGTAGCTCAAAGCATGGGAACTCTAACTCTGATTAAAAGTGAAATACACAGTATTTATTACTAGGAACTACAGAGAATTTAATTTAGTTCATAAACTCTTGTCTTTTATCTCAGTGTACAAAGCATGGGAACTCTAACTCTGATTAAAAGTGAAATATACAGTATTTATTACTAGGAACTACAGAGAATTTAATTTAGTTCATAAACTCTTGTCTTTTATCTCGGTGTACAGCCTCTGTCAGTGCTCACAGCCCATGGGAAAGGAGGCTGGGCCATGGTTTGAGGCTGCAGTTTATTCTGGCATGGGTACACTATGAAAGACCCACAGAGATGGTCCTGCCATAAATCCATTACCATGCTCATTTGTTTCTCCCCATCCAGGGAAATTAATTTTTCACTCTTTTCCTAAAATTCTAGTTTCTTCAGTAACTAAGAAATATACACTGCCATTTGTAATACTTAAGTATGGAAAGTTAGAACACCTGTACATAGTATGCTTCTTTCTCAAATCAAAACTAAGTTCCAATCAATCATTTAGGGGTTTGGTATAGGTTAGTTTTTTTTCTCATTTCTTAATACCACATTTAGTATTTTCCATGGTTACAGTCACATCACAGTGACAAAGTAAAATGACAGTAACCATATGCCTATAACACTTAAAATATTTACTATATATGGTCTTTCATAGATTTTGCCAAGCCCTGCCCTAAACTACTACTGGTAGCTAATCTTGTAAAATTAATGGCAAACTTTAGGATCATATACATACATGTATACACAGCTCTAAAGCATTTAGGTAGCTGGTAGTAGGGCCACAGGAAGAAGCCAGTAGAAAAATACAAGGCTCGTGGCATCACTAAAAACCCAAATCTACTTTTATCAAGTTGATTCTAAACCATGAGTACCCTCCATCAGGTTTTCAAAGGTACACATTTTTATAGGAGGAGAAGACTCATCTTTCTCCCTAGGAATAGCTGACAGATTTGAACCACAATCTTTTCGTTAGGAAAACAACATGTTACCCATGTATTAAACCACCAAGGCTCCTTATTTCACATTTCTGAGTAATAAATACCACCAGTTTTCTTCCCCATTCTCTTCTTTACCCCAGTTTAATGGTATCACGTTTCTATCGCAACATCCTACCTGTCCAGTGCTAACCGGAGGCTGCACTTGTGTTATCGGGTATTGTGTTGGCACAGGTGGGACTCCAGTAGGTAATGCTGGCAAGACTCCAGGTGCCAATGAAACAGCTGGTGGCACTATGCTTGGTACTCCATAGGGAGGTTGAACTGGCTGCTGAGGAGGGGGAACAACAGGGTAACCAGACTGATAGCCATTGGATGGATAATATGGTGGTTGAGGAGGGACACTACTTATAGCAGAGGGTTGTGTATAGCCTGAGGGGGAAGAAAAAAAGTGTTTAATCAGCTGCAGCAGAATGAGACATTTTAACTGAATATTAAACTTAATATCTAGGGAACAAATTACTAAGACATGACTTTCCAAAATTATCCCAAGTTGTACCCTGGCACAGTTAAGTTAGTCTGGCCTCAGTTATCACAGTTTATACATAAATGTAACTAGTAATTTCTAAAAGTTAAAGTAAACACTTCAAGATATACATACCTGGCAAAGGTACAGCAGTATTAATCTGATTCACAAATCTAGAATATTCGGCATGAACCTGAAAGAGAGGAGAAACAAAAAACAATATAGCACAGTTTCAATTCACTTTCTATTTAACAAGGGTCTGATCATAAAATTCTTGATGGGTACTGCTAGGTCAGCTCTGACTCACAGGACTCCATGAATTAAAGAATGAACTCCTGAACAAAAACACAAAAATTTACTAGAAATTTAAAATTCATAGGAAAATGTTTCATTCACATTTAAATGTGTTTAATATAACTTGTAACAGGCCTATCCATAAACAACTAGGCCAGGTTTAAAAATGAGTAGCACAGGTAATACCCTATCCCCCAAGTATGAATTCTTGAGTTCAAAACCAATCAGATCCACCAAACAAAAAAATTTCCAAGTTGTTATTATTATTATAACTGTTAGAATTCACTGGTTTACTTATTCAACATTTATTTAACAGGTGAGCATATCTATTTAGCAGCAGTGAATTTGACTATTAGATGCTAAAAACAGAAATAGGGTATGATTCTTTTGTTTCTCCCTTTCAGTTCTTCTTTATAATCATCCTATTATGTCTAAAAAGGAGCACTGGAGGCACAGTGTGTTAAGTGTTGCACTGCTAACCAAAAAGTCTGCAGGCTGAAAATAGCAGCTTCTCATTACAAGAAAAATGGGCAGTTTCCTTCCATATTTATCACCTAAGAAACCCAATACAGGGTCGTGACAAGTTCTCTAAAAAAACCAAGGGTTGGCAAAACAGGTCATTTGCTCAGAAACAAAGAAAACAGCCTCTCAGATAAAGAGCTAACTTGAAACATCAAATACAAGGTTGAAAAGTCAAGACTTAATCTTGACTTCCTTAATATGCTAATAGTTTCAGCCTAACTTTTGGTATTTATATAATAAAAAGGACAACCAAATAAGCAATTACCCCTAAGCACTGTTAAACAGTTTTAAGTTACTACAGCACTCCCCATTTTCGTTATCATAGGTGACATCAAGTCCATACAAGCTATGAACAAAACAATCAGAACTTTGCCTTATGATGAACCATCCTCACAATCTGACATGCTCAAGCCAACAGCTTGACATTTTATCAATCCACCTAATCTTAAGAATTTGGAATGCTCACCACAATTTAACCAGAATTGAAATAGATTTATATAAAATGACAACAGATTCTATACTATTGCTGACTTCAAAATTCCACACTGAAATATCTTCTGAATAAACTGCACAAGCAATTGAAATCCTGGCCAGGTGAGTGAGACAGCTGGAAAACGGCAGTAGTTCTCCTCAAAGAGACAAATACAACTCACTGTTTGCAAGAGATTCTCACAGAGCTTCTTGGCAGCAGCTAAGCCTTCTGGTTTGGGATGACTGCAAATAATAATTAAGAATTCAAAAGAGGGGAAAATAACATAGAACTCTGCCTACACTTTCATGCTACTTCATGTTTATTCACTGTAGTTCATACTGAAGTCTCTGAAAAACATGAAACGATCATCTAAGTACTTTCAGATATAACTAGATCATTCCACAAGTAACGGTAGTTCTTAATAGAAAAGACACTACAAAGTCATTAGATCCTAATTTTAAAAAAAAATTTGTTCTTTTCTGTGTGTACCGTTAAATTTGATCTGACTGGTACAGGAGGAGACTGCCCCTCCTTCTTCAGCAGAGCATCTGGTATCTGAACCACACACCTCTAGGATTGCAGTGCAGCTTCTTGTCACTAGGCCACCAGAGCTCCCCAGATCATAACATTTTTGAATTGCAACACATATAAAATTTCTTTTAGGCACATAACTGTTTATTTAACCAAGGACTTGAATAAAACACAAAGCCTTTATGAAAATCATTCAGAGAGAATTCTACGAATTCAACATTAATTATCAACTGAGTACTAATATTTAACCTAAATTTCCCATGTAACTAATAATTATGCCTATTTTGTCTTGGATCATCTGAATCATTTCCACTTGCACGAATATTTAGCTAAAAATAAGTGTTTTCAGTCCCATCCATATGCATACCTGATATAAATATACATAGGTTCAAAAGCTTCTCGACCAGATGCTGGCTCTATGCAGCCTGAACCTTTGCCCCGTAGAAAGACTTTGGCACCTGTTTCAATCTGAATGTGCTGCAGATAGGAACAGCCAGGACCTTCCACCTTCTCCTTGACGTTAAAAGTGGGCAGAGCATGTTCTAGACCAACAAATAATTTATCTTGAACATAATGCATCTGTAAGAATAATAGAACTTCAGATTATTAAAACTTTAAGTCTGTCTTCATTAGAAAATTGCTATATAAAGTACTTTAACTCTAAATCATTTTAATCACTTCCACAGTATGGACTTCCCCCATAATTTCTATCACGAACATATGAAATGATCAAGCAGCTTAATTTAAATGAAAACCATATATTCCACATCTTTACTTAAAATACAAATAAATACATTACTCAGGAAAAGATGCTGGAGAACATCAACATCCATTATTAAAGATTTCTACTTGTCCACACTGATACTAACACACTTATCAGTTAAAAAATCATGGCAAAGACAATTTCCTGTAAAAACAGAATAGAATGTTGGGCAGCACAGTCAGCCCTGTGATATTCTCTAATTAGGGCTGCTCTCACCAACCCTTTTTTCTAGGAGGATTGTATCAGCAGAGTCTTGCTTCATCAGATTCTGCCTTCTTAGTCCTCCAGTGGATCAAGTTCCCAAATACTAACTCAAATGACTAACTTGAAAACTGTATAGTGTTTATAACAACCGTCCCTCATCTTTAGAATGTCAGTATGAAAAGAGATTTGTCTCAGCTGTTCATTGTACCCTGGAAATGTAAACCTTAGCCTATTAGTGGAACAGTGGTAATTTTCTGATTAGAATTTCAAGAAATAACGCAGATGTTAATGATCCCTTCACAATACATACCCCTGATTGGAAAGGTTGTTTCTGGCTAACGGCTGGAGACAACTGAGCGATGGGTGCTGGCTGGTGATAGACAGTGACTGTTGCACCATTAAAAGTTGGGCTTGTCCCTGTGGCAGCTTTCACTACCCCATTGGTGATAATTTCTTTGATTCGGTTTACTGCTCCTAAGGAAAGAGAGAGACAATAAGATACTATACCAGAACACTGAATGAAGTAACTAGTGCCCAATGATAATAGAATGATGCTTAACATGTTGCCGCAAATGAGTTTCTAAGCATGATCATCAATTTAAAAAGTGTGCTGCAACGTATTAATTACTCAAGCAGTAACCCGTTTTATGAGGTAATCTCCAAGCTCTCATACAGATGTGTATGTATATATAATGCATACACAAGAGATAGAATAGCAACTAGAATTTGGTCCCTTGCTACACAGAACTCTGTATATTTATGAAAAGTGACACAAATAGTAAAAACATTACTTGTTGTTGTTGTTATGTGCCGTCGAGTCACCTGCGACTCATAGCGACCCTATGTACAACAGCCCTAAACTCCGCTCTGTCCTGTGCCAATCGCACTGTCTCTGACACTCCCATTCCAATTATCCCAGTCACTGAATCAATCCACCTCATAGAGGGCCTTCCTCTCCTGCGCCGTCCCTCCACCCTCCCAAGCATGATGTCCCTCTCTAAGGACCGGTCTCTCCTCACAACATGAAAAATATTAAAACATTACTTACTATCTACTAATTCCCGGGTCTGGCCTTGAACATGAAGATATAATGGACGATCTCTGTAAGAGAAGTAAAAAAATATTACAAACTGGCCATACTTGAAAGAGGAATAAAAGTTAAGAATTAGAGCTTAAAAAAAAAAAAAAGATTTAGAGCTTCAGTTGCACAACAATGAAAGACTCTTTTTAATGAAAAAAGAAAACTGGGGGATGGTTTGGGAGGAAAATGCGCAATGAATGAATGGAAATCCAAATTTTCTGCAAGCTTTCATTAAAAAGGAAAATAAAAGAACTAGAGCTTCAGGAAAAATTTTTCTAGTTTAACTGGACCAGATAGAGATCTGCTGGTTCTTACCAACAGCTCATTAATTAGTATCCTATCAACTGAGAGAATGCAAAGTTCAAGAACAGAATTTTTTTAAAATTAATTTTAATGAATGTTTATAGACTTTGGATTTTCATTCATTCATTGTTGCATTTTTCTCCCTGCCCACCCTCCCCCCCAGTTTGCTCTTCTCTTTGAAAAGTAAAAGAAAAATTCTTTCATTGGTGTACAATCTTCCCCCCCACCCCAGTACTCCACTATGTAGCCTTCATTCTGGACTCTTATCATGACCATAATATCCAATCATGTATAGTTTTTAAACAGTTCTCTCCCTCATCTGTTTCAATGCAGTATACATAATTTATCTTATCTTTCTTAGTCTCACCCCAACCCTGATGTCTATCCTGTTCTAGAACAGTGGCACTATGCAGTATTTTTCCTTTTGTGACTGAGATATTTCACTCAGTCCTCCAGAGTCACCCATTTTGAATAATATTTCATGAGTTCCTTGTTTTTCAATGTAATGCAGTATTCCACTGTGTGAATATATCAGAGCTTCTCTATCCATTTGTTTGTTGATTGGCACTTAGATTGTTTCCAACTCTTTGCTATTGTGAACAAAACCGCAATAAACATGGGTGTGCATATATCTGCCTGAGTGGTGGTTATGGTTTCTTTAGGGTATATTCCCAGTAGCTGATGGAATTGCTGGGTCAAATGGTATTTCTATTTGCAACTTTTTGAGAAAGCGTCACACAGCCTTCCATAGTGGTTGCACCATTTTACACTCCCACCAACAGTGAAAAGGGTTCCAGTTTCTCAGCAACCTCACCAGCATTTGATGTTTGCTGCTGTTAAATTTTGCTATTCTTACTGGGGTGAGACGATATCTCACAGTTGTCTTGATTTGCATTAAGAACAGAATTCTTTTTACAGAATGCCTAATCACTTATATACAGATAATAGTCTTGGCTTCACAAACTAATGAGGCACATTTTAAAGGCTCATGCAAACCAAGGAAACTCTTTAGAGTCTACATGTACATGTAGTCTAGATCCAGATTTTTATAATAACAACACAACAAGATCATGGCTAATAACTGTATGGTTAATTGAAAGTGGTAGGTTTAAAAAATATCTTTATATAAAAAAATCAAAATAACAACTGACTTATAGAAACATTAATTTTTTAATATTTGGCTTCAAAACACACCCTTACTTTGAAGTAGGACCAAAACTTCATTTAAGCCACTGTTAACAATGTTGCATTCCTCAAACACCTGTCCATTAAGAGTGGAGAGAAGCTCAAATATTAAATAATGAGGGGAAAAGTAAGTAAATTCTAAATTTTTTGAGAGATCATCTACAACCTAGGAGTCTGATAAAAGGACATTTAAAAAAACAAAAATAAAGGACAGTACAACAAATTTGATCCTCTATCAGGGAAAATGCTTACATAAGGGAAAACATGTTAATTTAAGTTCCTTCCAATAAAAACCCTATGATGTAAAAACCAAAAAAGAATTAAAAATAGCTGCCAACATTTCTCACACACATTTCAGATGCACAGAATTCTGCTTAGTTGTACCTCTATCAAACTATTAGCCAAATATTATTTATATATAGTCTCTAAGAAAGGAAAACGCAAAATTAATCTGAAACATATGCCCAATCTTTCCCCACAGTAAAAGGATAAGCATACGCACCCAGGTCCCACTTTGGCCTTCTCCTCAGTTGTCATGAACCTCCCTCGAGTTGACACTGCAGCCCCACTAAGTCTGCTGATCTAAAAAAGGACATGTACAACAAAATAAAAAACCCCAAAAGGAAATGTTTGTGGTAATGACGCGGTAATTAACTGGTTTCAACAGCACTTAGCAGAATGGCAATTTCCCATTCATTCCACCATTAAGATAGGTGCATTCTCCTAGAAAGGAAGTTTCAGTAAGTTCATAAAGAAGTTTCTTCAAAATTAAACTAAATCCAATTCTGTCTTTAGTAACAAACATTTGTCTCTTGTTTCTATCTATTGTTATGTATTGTTGTTATGTACTGTCAAGTGAGAAGTGACTCATAGCTGACCCTCCAGCAAGTTTTTAGAGGCAGTAAGTCCCACAAGAGACCGCCAATCTTTGTCTTTCAGAACAGCTGGTGGATTTGAACCATGTGTCTTTGAAATGATAGTGCAACTCTTTACCACTAAGCCACCAGACCTCCCTGTTTCTATTTAGAGGTCTGCTTTTCATGAAACACCCATCCATCACCAAATGAGTCCCAACTCCATACCTCGTCTTGAGTCTGTCCTCGAGTCAGCAAGTTCCTACACGTAAGAGGCACATCATTGATTTCTACTTCAGCTACTACCAGGTCATCTTTGCTTTTATTGCTAGTCAGGCCTTTGCCAGGGGTCTGAAGCTACCAAAAGAGAAAGAAATGAAATACTCTGGTTAGTATTTAAAACTCCAGCCTCTAAAATGAGTAGTACAGAGCCAAGTTCTAAAGCTTTACAGCTCAATTAACCGGCTGTATGTGTAGTAAGACACAGGGTAGAGTTCAATGCCTAATAATCTATACTACTCCAACCTGCTCATATAATAGCTGTTGCCTTTATGTCAAACCTAGTTACAGACATAGTCCAAATTCAACTAATCCAGTCCTCACAATGATCTCACGAACCTTCAAACATTAATTAACCCATTCATTACCCCTTATTATGGAAGAACAAAGAGAAGAGATAAAAAACCAGGGTAGATCATAGCCTGATTTGATTTCTCTCAAAACTACAAGCCCCTCGAGCACTGTATTAAAGAAATTTAACCATGAGATGGCTTTCCTCCACCTTGCCTGCTCTCTATCAATGCTTTAGCAAATCTGCTCAAGGAAAAAAGAACATATAATTTACTTTTTTGTACAAATTTTTAAAACAGGAAAGCAAATTAAATGCAGACTCAACGCCACCACCTTACCTTTTGTCTTGCTGCTTGTGAACCCATATAACCACCTTAAAAGTACCTAGAAGTTCTTTCCATTAGAGTTTTCTGTGATAATGTAAAGGCTGATGTAAATCTGAGCAGTCCAACACAGTTGCCTTTAGTTATATAAAGTCACATATGGCTACTCTGTTGAACAGTACAAGTATTATACCACTAAGATCCTTAAGAGAAACTAAGGGTCAGTGGATGCCAAGACCACATAAGCAGTAATTGGGGTTTCAGGTTTTCAAATTCAGGTCATCAGATTTTCTGTTGTTGACTTTATCACATTTAAAGATTACTTCTTAAGAGAAAAAAAAAGGTGATCTAAACTGTTAAAATTAAGAATCTTAATATTTAAAGAGCAAGCCCTACTTTTCAATGAGCTTTTCATTTTCCTGGCAGATCTTAGAAATGGCTAATTAACTCAAACAATCTTTGCAAACCATCAAAATATTTTCTCAAAATGATAATCATAATGGCACAGGCTGTCCTGAAACATACTGAACTTTTCTACTCTTGAGGTTTTGAAACAGCACAGCTGTCCAAGTGCCTGAAGTGCCTTGAAGTCAGATACCTACAGCCATGACTCACAGATTCTGGACTACTAATTCTAAATAACACTTGAGATTAATTTTCTAGATCTGTAAATTGGCGACAGTTTGAGCGAAAAAAGTGCAAAGCATACAAGTAACATAGCCTTAATTTATAATTATCATGATCCTGCAGGAGGAGTATTGTTGCACACTAAAACATGGAGAACTAAAGACTTTTAGCTCTGAAATTCAAATGATACCAAGGATTTTAAAAAATGACTCAATGTGAAATATATTAAACAATCCATATGTAAATGGTTTACCCATTTGGTTGAAGTTTAAATTGTACTTAAGTGGAGGATCAGCAAAAAAGAGTAAGACTCAATGAGATAGACTGAAGGGGGCTCAAATAGAATAACAACTATGAGTATGGCACAGGTCTGGGCAACAATTCATTCTGTTGTATACAGGATTTGCTATATATTGGAGCCAACTGTATAATACATAACAGTATAACACCTAACAATAACAGTGAAATTCACTACTGTAAAGTCAATTCCATTGAAGTGAGCAATCCTCCTCTGGGTTTCCAAGACTGCAAATCACAAAGAGAGAAAACGGATCCTTTTTCTCTTTTGGCCTCACTGGTGCATTTGACTGCAACACAACCAAATGGTGTGTATAATTACACCACCAAAGCTGTCATTAAGTAATCATCTAACGTTCTTATTGTTTTTAGGTACCATCAAGTCTGAACCAACTCATCGCTGACCTTCTAGCAGGTGTTCCCGAGTTGCAGTAGGTACACCTGAAGTGCATACCTTTGGGTTGGCAGCGCAGGTCCTTACTAGGAGACCATCAGAACATCCTAACTCTTCAAAGCAAGCTATTTGGTCGATAAAAATGTAATCAGCGAACTCAAAATCGCCTCAGGTAAACAAGTATGACAAAATGTCATCTGGTAAATTCCAAAACCAAATGATCTTTAAATTACTGTTGCATTGTTTCCCCTCTTCCATTAACACAAATCACTCTGACATTAAATGGTAACAAATAATTCCTAAGAGACTTGCAATTAGTCGCTACAAAATTCAAGTACCTTTTCAGCAGCGTTCTGAGTTGGTTTGAGCTTCCCTTTTGCCATGAGCATGGCATTGATCTTGGCAGCCACTGCAGCGGCAGCATCCAAGGCTCCCGAGGGAGCAGCTGCGGAGCCCCCAGGGCTCCCTCCACTGCTGGTGACCTCTGCGCCAGGGGCCGTCGGTGGAAGGAAGAGAAGGGGGGCTGGAGCTGGTTGGTCCCATTTGCTGCGGCGTCTATAAGAAAGTAAAGACAATGAGGGTTCCAAAGCTATCATTTACATTACTCTTTTTTAACTGCGATACTAACAGCTCATTTTTCATCTATCTTACTCCCTTTACCCCTCCGATCTTCTTCCAGGTCTAGAATTTCATCTTTCCTTAAACGGGAAATTAATGCTGTTATTTTCCCATTTCTTCAATTTTTTTAACACTACCCAGCATCCTTTCTCCTCTTTCACATATAACGGACTGGTCCCATAGATCTTCGTCTTCTCCTTCATCTTGATTTCCTCTCTCCAAAATCCCCCGCTCCGCTCACCACCAACCCTTTTCAGGAGGCCCAGGCCTGCTGACCATCTTGCTATCCAAAAGTCCGGCCCTCCAGTCCGTCCACTTCCCACTGAAACTCCACTCCATACCTACGCACGGCCCACCATCGGCCCACAGCCCTTCCCACCGCCCGTGTTCAGAGTCCCTGGTCCAAAAGGCCTCACCCTCCGGCTCCAGGATGCGTTGCGCTCCCCGCGGACATGGCGCCCGTCTCTGCTTAACCACCCGCCAACTACCCTACTACTATCTTCCCGTCATTTCCGCCCCTAATGACATTACGCAGAGCCTCTTCCGGTAATCTGGTGGAACGTTTCCGGCGGCGATGTCGATTCCGATTGGCTTCTCGGTGATTTAAAGGCATCTGGCGTTGTTTGAGACAAGGAGGGTGGGATCTTCCTGCTTGCGTTTAACCCTTGGAAAAGATGGCTGCTGTGGTTTATTTAAAGACAGAATCGGAGGGGAGGGAGTGGGCGAAGAATCCATCTTTGTTGTGGTCAAGGTGGTAGAACAGAAACAATACATCTAAGTCGGATTAAACAGGTTTCTGGTCTAAATACAGCTACGTTTATGTGACCAAAAGAAAGATCCTTCTCACGACTGTTATCCAGATTACACTTCAATTACCTATTTGTTAGGTGTCGTGGAGTGGTCTGAGTAACCCTATGTACACCAGATCCTGCGCAACCCTCACAGTCACTGTGCTTAAAGCCATTGTTGACAGTTACTGCGTTGAACTTCTTGAGGGTCTTCTTTGGCTAACCTGCCACTTTCCAAAGCATGATGTCCTTTTCCAGGGATATTCTTTCCTAATAACATGGCCAAAGCTTGTGACATAAAGTCTCACAGTCATTGCCTTTAGATTTATTTATTTATTGCTCTTTTTTTAAAAATTTTATTATTTTTTGTGTGAGTGTACCGTCAAATCAGATCTGACTGGTACAGGAGGAGATTGTCCCTCCTTTTCCCGGCAGAGCATCTGGTGGATTCGAACCGTGCACCTCTGGGATTGTAGTTGCACCTTCTTACCACTAGGCCACCAGAGCTCCCCAGATTTATTATTTATTTTGACCGTCCCTGGTATAATGAATATTTTTCTTCAGTACCACAGTTCAAAGGCATCAGTTCTTCACTGGTCTTACTTATTGTCTAATTTTCAAATGTGTATGAAGCAATTGAAAATAACTGTAGTTTGCTCTATGTCTAATCAGTTGTGTATTGTGCATTGTATTTGTTCCCATTCCAAAAAACGGTGTTTCAACATGGGACAGAAATTGTTGAACAGCATCATTATTTATATGCAAGTAAAATCTTGCTGAAGATAATTCAAAAACACTTGTAACAACTGGATTAAGAAGGTGGTGTGGGAAGAGGGATATAATTGCTGAAGTCAGATGGATTTTGATTGAAAGCAGAGAATACTAAAACGATATTGGTGTTTTACTGACTATGTAAAGGCATTTGATTGTGTAGATTATAACAAATTATGGATAACATTGAAAATAATAGAAATCCTAGAACACTTAATTGTGCTCATGAAAACCTACGCATAGACCAAGAAGCAGTTGTCTAAACCAAGCAAGGAAACTCTTAATAGGTTAAAATCAGGAAAGGTGTGTGTCAGGATAGTATGCTTTCTCCACACCTATTCAATATGTATGCTGAACAAATAATTCAAGAAACCAGATTATATGAAGAAGAATGTAACATCAGGATTGAGGAAGACTTGTGAACACTACTAGATATGGCTAGCTATGGTGAAGGGAGTATACAACTCTGACCCACATCTTTTCTTAAGTCATGTAGTATCCCCTTAAAGAAAGAACTCTGATAGTGTAGCTAGTCATGGATTGGGCTAATAACTTAAAAGTCAATGGTTCAAATGCACCAGGCACGCTTCAGGAAAAAGGTGGATGGATAATCACCTTCTCTAAATTAGAGTCTCAGAAATTGGTGGAGGGTTGCTATGAATCAGTATCCATTCAAGACAATGGATTAGTATTCCCTTCATTTATGCAAGTGACTGCTTCTTGGACCATGAACATGTTCTGTACTAGTATGATTAAGTTCTGAAATGATAATTTTTCTCATTATTATCTATATTAATTTATTCTCAATATTATCTATATAATGTGATTCACACAATCAAATCTCTTTACATAATCAGTATAACACAGGTAAACATGTTTCTGATATCAATGAGATCTCTTATTTCACTGCATTTTGTGAATCCAGTTGAATTTCTGAGTTTCCTGTCAATGCACATCTTAAAGTAATCTTCAGCAAGATTTTGCTTCCCTGTGATATTAATGAAATTATTTTATAATTTCTCACATTCTATTGGGTGAACTTTGGTAAATGACAATAGTTATAGCAAGGTTTCAGGCCTTTTGTTCATAGGGTCACTATGAGTCATGATCGACTTGATGACAACAACATTGTATCACCTTTAAAGAAAAATGGAAACTGTATGAGTCTTCTAATTTTCAAACTTTCCTGCCATAGGTGAATGAACATATCCCATGTATCTATTTGTTGAAACTCTTCAACTGGTAGTCTGCCATTTCCTTTACCATTACTTCTTGACCATGTGCTTCTTCCTTCAAATCTCTGCTTAAAGACCTCACAGAATTTATTATGTTGCCCTTTACCTTTGGTTAGGGAGCTCTAGAGGCATAGTCTGCAGGCAGTTGTGCTGCCAACCCAAAGGCAGCACCTCTCTGGTGAATGGATCCTACTAGCAACTCTACAGGAGAAAGGGGCAATGTCCTCCTGTATGACATACAGCTTCTCAAAAATCTGCTGGAGGATCAGCTATGAGTCAGTCTGACTCAACAACACTAAGTTGAGTTTGAGTATCTGTGGTTTTTATTAAACAAAGTAAAACATTGCCATTGAGTTGTGCCATATCAATAGAGGTTGACTGAAAAGTTTATTTCATCCACTTCTCCAGCTATATGTGCTTCCCAATTGAAGGCCTTAACTTTAGATACTGTATCAGACAATGTTCCTCTGCTATTCATAGGGTTGTCAAGGCCCATTATATCATAAGTGGATGGCTAGTCCTACTTCTTCCTAGTCTGTCTTACTCTGGCAGCTCCGCTGAAACCTACCCATCATGAATAACTACTGGTATTTGAAATACCAACAGTATAACTTCCAGCAGATGAGTCATAGCGTTATCTCTTTAAGGAAAGGAAAATGATACCTTCCAAAAATCATTTGAAAAAGACAAAAAAGAAAAAATCATTTGAGATACTCAGATTTTACTCTGAAGCATACTAGTCTTTGGTCTTTTTACGAAAGCTTTTCCAGGATTAGCGTCATTATGAGTTAAATGGCACAAAAATAATTTGGAGACCTTCTCTGCCTTTTTCATTTCTGTCTATCAAGCACTGCTTGAAGAATGGGGACTATAAAGATTAATTAAGTCATGAGTTCTGCTTTTCTAGTCTCAGCAATGTGGTAGGATAGGTGTGGGGGAAATTATACATGATAGGGTTGGTAGGGGAGCGCTAGTGGCTTAGTGGTAAGAAGCTGTACTGCAGTCCTGGAGGCACAAGGTTCTAATCCGTCAGCTGCTTCACAGGAGAAATGGGCAATCTCCTTCCGAGCAATTAACTGCCTCTGAAAACCCACAGAAGGTTTGGTTCAGACTCAAAGCCACACAACAACAACAACAGGGTTGGTAGCAAAATGTTTGTTAAAGCACCAACCTGCTAGCCTGAGGCAGTTCAGAGCCACCAATAACCTTAAGGAGAAATATGTAGCATTTGATAGCACATCAACATCTCTAAAGATTACAGCCTTGGAAATTCTGTTGGACAGTTCTACCCTAACCTAGACAGAGTTTCTATGAGTCAGAATGGACATAATGGCAATGTTTCAACTTGTTTGTATTGGTTTTATTTAATAGTAACCAAAGACAGAGATAAAATATTCAACTCGGTGGCACATCTAAGCAGGGATTTGAAGGGAATGTAAGCTAGAAAGCAGAGTAGGGTAGGAAAGGCAGCAGTCCAGCGTGGGATTTTATTGTTTGGTTTTTTAATTGTGATTTTAACAAAAGTTTACAGAAAAGTTGGATTTTCATTCTCATTGTTGTACATTTTCCTTCCACTCCCTTCTCCCTTTGTTCACTCATTATTGCATAATTTCCTCCTTCTTTTACCCCTTCTTGTCTCCTTCCCCTCCCCCAGTTCACTTTGTAATGCACCTCTTACACTGGACTGTTGTAATACATATAATGCCTAACCATATATTTCTTTTAAACAGTTTTCCCTTCATCTGTTCCAGTGCCATGTTTGTTATCTAGCCCTTCTTTCCCATTTTCTCCCCAACTCCCCATGTCAGTCCTGTTTTATAGCAGTGGTGTTATTCAGTATTTGTCCTTTTCTGACTGGGATATTTCACTCAGCATAAGGTCCTCCAGGATCACGAAACATCTGTAATGTTTTATGAGTTCCTTGTTTTTCAGTGCTGTGTAGTATTCTATTGTGTCATAGTTTCCCTATCCATTTGTTGATTTGGTTTCTTCCATCTCTTTGCTACTGTGAATAACAAACAGCAATAAATATAGGTGTTCATACAACTGTTTCAGTGGCGGCTCTGGTTTCTTTAGGGCATATTCCCAGAGGTGGAATTGCTGGGTCAAATGGTATTTCTATTTTCAACTTTTTGAGAAAGTGCCAGACCGCCTTCCATTTTACATTCTTAGTAGAAGTGAATAAGGTTTCCAGTCTTTCCACAACTTCACCAGCATTTGTTGTTTGCTGCTCTGTTGAACTTTGCTATTGTTGCTGGGTCAATGTAGGTTTTGAAACACCTGTTCAGACATCTGTCTACCTACTTTTGGGCCAGCTAGAGGAGGCAGGGCAGGCAATAGGCGTTGAACACAGTGCTAAGGAGTTTGAGTTGATTTTGGAAGTTTAAGTTTTTCAGCATAAGAGATGTCTTAGAGCTGCATGGAGTCTCCACAGTGAATAAACAAAGTATAATCTATTTTTAAAATAACTCAGTACTAATATGATTCATAAGAGAGAAAATAATTTGAAAGTGCATAGGGTTTTTGTTCATCAGAATTTAACAAATTACACCTTCCTTACAGATTTTAAACACCACCTTTATTACACATGAAATGACATATGCATATATAATAATCCTGCAATTTTTTCTATTTCATTTGCCCAAGATTCTGCTAAAAAT